TTCTCTGTATAACAGCCCTGGTTGTCTTGGAACTCACTCTGTAGACCAGGCTGTCCTCAAAGTCAGAGATCCACCTGCCTCTGCCTCCTGAGTGCTGGGATTAAAGGTGTCTGACACTATCCCTGGTCTTAAAATATAAATTTTATTTTTTTAAATGGTGTGTGTGTGTGTGTGTGTGTATCTGTGTGTGGGTATCTGTGTGTGGGTAGATGCATATTAGTGCAGTTCCCCAAAAGGCCAGAAGAGGGCATCTGATCTCTTTGACCTGGAGGTACAGGTGGCTGTGAGCCACCTGGTGTGAATGCTGGGAGCTGAACTCAGAACCCCTGTAAGAGAACATGCACTTTTAACAGCTGAGCAGTCATCACTCTAGCCCTCACCTTATTTTTTGACTTAAGGTCTATCACTGAATCTGGAGCCTATGGCTTTCACTAGATTGTACCAGCTGGCCAGCAAGCCCCAGTGAGCCTCCTGTTTCTACATCCCCAGCCGCTGGCTTTCTACTCAGACATTGGGGATCTGAACTTAGGTCCTCATGTTTGTTCAGCAAGCACTTTGCTAAGGTATCTCCCCAACTCCTTCTCCCCATCTCTCTGGAGTCTTGTTAGATACCCAGGTAGATCCTTAACGCCTGGGCTTCAAGCAATCCTCCTGCCTCAGCCTCCCGAGCACCTGGGATGACAGGTACATGCCACCAGGTTCTGCTTTATGGTTTTGATGCCATTATTGTTTGTTTTTTAGGCAGGATAGCCCTTTCTTTCCTGGAAATCACTATGTAGACCAGATTGGCCTCAAAGTCACAGAGATTCTCTTGCTGCTGCCTTTCCTGTTCTGGGATTAACCACGTGTGCCACCCCACCCCACCCCTGCTTTATGTTTTTAATGAATAAAAATTAAATCAGAGCTTGGAACGGTGGCCCAAGATTGTAATTCCAATACTCTGTAGGCAGAGACAGGAGGATCAATGCAAGTTTGAGGTCAGCCTTGTGTCTACATAGTGACTAGTCTACACAGGCCAACGAGGTCTCCATAGTGAGACCCTTTCTCCAAAACAAACGTTGTTTTAAACAAAGCAAAAAACGGAGATCGAGACAAGAGGATTGTCTAGGAGATTCTACACCTTGCAAGGTACAAAGTGAGACAGTGTGGCTGCCAGGAGGAGCAGAGATCAGCCCCTTCATCCCTTCATCTCTAGAGCCCCACCCCTGTCCTCGAGGGCCCCTTCATCCCTTGAACCCCACCCCTGTCCTCGCGGCCGGCCGCTCTGTGTCCCAGAGCTTCAGCCACACGCAGCCCCAGGACTTCCTCCTCCTCCTCCTCCTCCTCCTCCTCCTCCTCCTCCTCCTCCTCCTCTGCTCACCCCCTGTGCTGTCACTGGGCATCAGGGCTCCTTTAACTCCACATCTGTCCTTCCTCCAGTCAGGGAGGCCAAGAACCCTGGTAGGCAGTGCTGAAGTGGCCAGGCTGCAGGTGTGCCCGGGGCAGGGGGGATGGGGCCAGCACCAGGCCCACAGGTTGGGCCAGGATGAGAGCCCTGGGGCCTGCCAAGTCCCTGGGGCCCCAGGTGTTCTCCAGGGGGAGACCCCTAGGCCCACCATGGAGGGTCCTGGGCCCTAAGAGGCCCTGCAGAAAGCCCCAGCTTTACTTGCTTATAGTGCTCTTATGATAGAGAAGTTTCACATGCAAAAAAATTAAAAATTCTTGGGCCGGTGATATGGCTCAGAGAGTAGAGGTGCTTGCTCCCAAACTCAATGGCTAGAGATTAATTCCCAGAATCTGCATGGAAGCATAGATCCTGTCCCCATATTCTCAATAAATATAAATAAGCAAGTCTTTTAAAGAAATATTTCTTAGCTGAGGCAAGAAGATCCCTTGAATTCAAAAGTTTGAGTTCAGTTTAGACAATATAATGAGACTCTATTACACACACACACACACACACACACACACACACACACACATTTCTTTGGTGTGAACCATGGTGATATATACCTGTAATCCCAGCACCCAGACAGAGGCAGGAGAGTGACTGCAAGCTAGAGGCCAGCCTGGCTTCACAGCAAGACCCTGCCTCATAGCACAGACATAAGACAGCTTTGCTTTTGTTTTTTCGCTTTTGAGACAGGGTCGTATTATGTAGCCTAGGCTATCTTCAAACTCTTGATCCTTCTGCCTCAGCATCCTAAGTGCTGGGACTACAGGAGCATATCACCAATCTCAGTCAGATACATGTTCAGTGGTCAAGTGCACTGTTAGATTAGTTCAGCAAGTGACCAAGTCCCACCACTGTTAGCAACTTCGTCTTGCCGTCTGGCTTTGTTTCCCCATCCAGATACACACGTGCACATCCACATATGCGTCTTGTGCACATACATACCTTGCACTTGCATCTGTGTTTGTAAAACACATACACAACACTCTCTATATATCAATCCATGTACACAGTATTCATTTGATACCACAGCCAAAGGTGTCATATGCACATATTACATTTACCAATATGTTTCTCCCAACTCTGAAACTATGATTCTCATTCCTCAACGCCTCAGCGTGCCTCTTTTAGGAACAGGAGCATCTCTTACACACCTTGAAGTCTTCCGTGCATGAAGCAAATCTACTTTAAGACACAATAGCACCTAATGCCAGTCTGTATTCAAATTTCCCCAATTATTTCTGGAAGGTCTTTGGTTTATTTTATTGTTTTGAGGCAGGGTCTAAATCTAGCCCACGCTTACCTAGAGTTCACTGTATAGCCCAGGCTGGCTCCAAACGCCTGGCCATCCTTTTGTCTAACACCCGGATGTTGAGATTGCAGCGAGTCACCACACCCGGCTTCTGAAGGTTAGAAGTTGCTGTTGGGCGTTGGTTCTCGCCTTCTACCTTGTTGGAGACAGGGTGTCTTGTTCATCACTTCGTGAGTCAGGTTAGCGTCCAGGGATCCTCCTGGCTCCATGTCACACCTCACCGTGGATCACTGGGATTGCAGTCATGCGTCTGCCCTCCGAGGGTCTGGGGGACAAAGCTCAGGTCCTCACGCAGGCACAGCAGGCGCTTTGTCCACTGAGCCAGCTCCACAATCCCAGCTGTGTGCCATAGGGTCATTACTGGCCTCAAACTCACAGGCATCCTCCTGCCTCAGCCTCCTGAGTGCTAGAATTACAGGTATAGGCCACCGTAACCAGCCCTAATTTTTGAAGCATATATGTATGTGTACACACACACACACACACACACACACACACACACACACACACACACACACACTGAATTCTGGGACAGCTGATTGAAGGTCTGAAGTCCTTTGGGGGTTGGCAAATTGCTTTTGTGGGGTAACTTATTTTCTCCCAGTTTTTGTTGTTGTTTTGTTAAGTACTAGGTCTCAGTAGACTGCCCAGATGGTTTTGAACTCATGGCCTAAGCAACCCTTTTCTTCACCCTCCCCAGCAGCTGAGAATACAAGTGTGAGCCACCACATCCAATGCGTGTATTTTCTCTGACTAGAAATTAGTACTGGAAGCTTGGTTTACTTGGAGAGGGCCACATTTCCGATACACAACATACAACATGTTATTTGGTGATTCAAGCCATGTGAAGTGCATTCAGCAGGGCTAGGCCGGCTCAGATGTTTGCAGCTGTGGCTGCCATTCATTTTTCCCGAATGTTACGTGACAAGACTTTTCATGAGGAGATGTAACATACACAACTGCTCACTCCAGATAGGGAGACCAAAGTATGGGTACTGCGAAGGTCCATCTTGGTGAACAATGAGTTTTGGGGGGCTACTTACAGGACTATGGGTGAGAGGTCACTTACAGGAGTAAAAATGATTCAAAGACAGATGCATCACCAAAGCCCACACCAGCACGGTGACAGCTCACAGAACTGGGCACCTGGAACACAGGAGCAGCAGGCCCTTCAACAGGTTGGATACTGAGGACGATATAAGGGATCAGCTCTTTTGGCTTATAAGACAGTCCCCAGCTAGCTCCTCCTGGGCCACATTCCCGGTTACTTGGGGAGCATGAAGTCCTGAGGAGGTGGGCTTACTAAGCAAGTGACATTTCAAACAGCTCCTGACGTTTGAGTAGGAGTTTCTGCAGTAGAGAAGTAGAGAGTGAAAATCTAGTCAGGGTCAGGCCACAGACTTCTTTGAGGAACTGTTAGTAGTGCCATGCGGTCTCCCTTGCAGTGGGGAATTGTTTTGCCTAAGTGGCCCTGAAGTTCCTAGTCAGGAGTCTGGGCTTGGCCCCCAGGTAAATGGGGAGCTGCAGTAGGAAGGGGTCACAAGGCCCCCGAGTCTGCACACTCTCTTCGACCAGCCGCAGCGTGGGCAGGGGAATCTGCTGTTGTCGGGCGGGCAGTGGAGCTGGACAGGACTGGGGGCATGCAGGTAAAGCAGGTTAATCAGCAGGATGGCAGGAGGGGGAGATGAGGCGGCAGGAAAGCTGAGGAGGTTCAGACCCTGTGCAAGCTGAGGAGAGTCTGCTCTGACATGGGTGAGTCTTCTAAGAAGCCCTAGAAAAGTCAGGGTACCGCCAGAAGCCTGACCCAAGGGGCTCATAGGCCTCCACCTTTGAAAGGGGCAGGGATGCCTGGCCTGGAGGCTTTAAGAAGGCCACAACTCCAGGCAGTGTGTGCTGTCCGTGTGCCAACGGTCACTGGGGTGGGCAGTGCCGACTTTGCCCGGCTCCCCATCTCCACCAGGAGAACTTTCTCCCCAAGAACCCTAACGACATGGCTGAGGTCACTGGGCAAACAGCCTCTGGAGAGCACCACAGAGGGGACTTTACAAGTCTCTGGAGACCCACAGTTTGGAAGGGTGGCAGTCCCCTCTGAGTAGTTCCCCACCTCTGGATTCTGCCTTCTGGGGAAGTAGGACTTCTCCTTTTAGGTCATGAATGTCAGGCTTGGGGATGACTAAGAGATGTCAGAACCAGTGGGTGGCGAGAGCGCTTAAGTACCAGGACTCGTGTCCTCTGGCCATTAGACACCTGGTGAGGGTAAGTGCAGCATGGCCAGCCTGCAGACCCCGCTTCTCGTGGCTCTCATCCTTCTTGCCGTGGCACTTCAGACATCGGATGCAGGTGAGGCTGGAGAGCAGGAGAGTAGACACTGCAGTGTCTGGAAAGAGTCCCGGAGTGACTCTGCCATCGGCTCTTGTGGCCTTGGGCTAGCCCTGGCGCTTCCCTGGGCTAGCGCTATTACTTTTAAGTGGGCAATACCATTTATAAACGGGTGTATCCATTTATATACTGGGTAGTCAGGAAGGCTTGGCTTTTAGGCTCTGTCTCAGTTGGTTTGGGGGTTGTGGGATGCAAGGTCTGGGGATCCTATTGCCTGGACAGCTCAAGCATGGGGGCTCTTGAAATGGATACAGGGTCCACAAGGTATCAGGTTTGAGTTGGGAAAGGTAGAGACTCTCTTAGAAAACTGTCCCTGCCATCCCAACACCCAAGGTTTGCTCTGGAGCCTGCGGTCGACACAGGGTCCTCCCTTCCATCACGCTATCAACCCTCCTGCTTTGGGCTGGGCAGGAGAAGGGTCTCCACAGTGGAATGAGGCAACTACAGCCAGCCAGTTGTTGCTCACAGTATCAAGTCTCTGGAAAGCCTCCTTGTGGCAAAATCCTATGGCACTGGTATTCTTCCATGAGCCTTGGAGATGACAAAAGATTAGGGTCGCTGAGGGACAGAGTGGGACTCGAACCAGGTCTGTGCTGTGACTGCCATCTGTCTGAGCTGTGATTTGACTCTGCTGAAGACTCCCTGTGACCATGGGTGCTTGCCTTCCTCTTTGTGCCTCATCAGGGCAGAGAGAAGAGGAAGATATTTCTAACTCTGCGTTGCTAGTATGAGGGCTGCTGGGTCTGGAGTAGGGCCAGGCATCCCACCAGCTCCTGGGAAGCCGGAGCTGTTGTCCATTCCCTGATCCAAGGTGAGCACTGGGGTTCCCTCTGGCTCAGAGGTGCAGGACCCCATTTAGAAGCCTGTTGGTGCTCTGTCATTCTGAATCCACTTCCTGGAGCCGACTGTCCCATAGTGTAGACACTGGGCCCTTAGTGGCATCTCTGTATGAGGCAGAGAAGAGATCCATCGGTGTGGAAGAGAACCTTTCCCATAGGTCAGTCTGTGACCAGGGCTGGGGCTGGCCTCTCTGCGCTCCAGCTGATGTGCCCTGGGCACCCCTCCACCAGGTCCCTATGGTGCCAACGTGGAAGACAGCATCTGCTGCCAGGACTACATCCGTCAGCCCCTGCCGCCGCGCGTAGTGAAGGAGTTCTTCTGGACCTCAAAGTCCTGCCGCAAGCCTGGCGTTGTGTGAGTGGGGAGCTGGGCCTCAGGGCTTTGGAGGAGGGGCCTGATGGGTGTGGCCCAAAGGCGAGCAGGATGTATGGAGCTCCAATGCAAGGAGGCTTGGCTGCGTGGGATGGTTCAGGCAGGCTTGGGAGTTCTGAATTCCAAAATGATAGTACCATTCAACAGACAGACTGCTGACCGTCTGTAGCATGACGGATGCGAGGATGGCAGCCGAATAGATGGTACCACCCCAGCACGGCCGCGTGGGCAGTACATAGCCAGCCACGGGCTACTGGTGACGAGAAGTAGTGTGGGTGTTTAGAGTCGCTCCCTGCTGAGGCATCCTGGGTCCTCCCAGTCCCTGGATTTCTTACGGGTAGCCATCTTGGTCTATGCTAAGCCCTGTAGATGACTGCCCATGTGCTGGACTATGCTGAGCACTATCCATGTGACTCACTCAGTCTTTGAAGCAATTCTACAAGGAGGTCAGCCCGTTCCATAGGTTAGACCCAAGGTTGGCAAAGGGAAGGGACCCAGGCTCAGCAGGGGAATGGAAGCAGGCTCAGTAAAGAAGAGCCTGGGGCAAGGCTTCCCAGGCTGTTGTAGGAGCTCCTGTGCTCCCGGGAGGAGTTTTCTATTGTGATTCTCCCCCTCTGCACCCCAGATCTCTCCAGCTGGCGGGAAGACGCCTCCTTTTCTGTGGTAGCCATCTGGCTGCTGCTAACCCCTTAGAGTCTGCTTCCAGCACATCACCTATCGGACAGTTCTAGGATTTGGGGTCCTGACCCCACACCTTGGGCTCTATGTCTTCTCTCCCTCCTCCCATAGCTGACTCCATCTCTTTTTTCTTAAAGTCTCTTTATTAATTTATTTTTTACTTTCTAATCCCGGTTCCCCCCCTCCCTCCTCTCCCCCGCTTCCCCCACCTCCCTCCCACCTCTCTCCCACCCCCCATCTGCTCCTTGGAGAGGGTAAGGCCTCCCCTAGGAAGTCTGCTAAGTCTGTCCCATCACCTTGTTGAGGCAGGACCAAGGCGCCTCCCACCCCCCCCACACCCCGGTGTCTAGGCTGAGCAAGGTATCTCTCCATAGGGAATGGGCTCCACTAAGTCAGTTTGTGCATTAATGTTAGGTCTTGGATCCACTGCCAGTGGCCTCATATATGCCCCAGCCACACCATTGTCACCTATATTAAGGAAGTCTAGTTGGGTCTTATCAGACCAGCCGACTCCATCTATTAGAGTTGTCTGCTGGAGAAGGACAAAGAAGGTCAGAGCAGGAGCCCTCCCAAGGGCCTGGCCCCTTTAGGGCTGAGACTGTTTCCCATCACTTCAGCAGAGCCATAACCCCCTGTTTCCCAAGTGCGGAAAGATTGTGTGCTGAGCATAAGGCACACAACCTTTAGCTAGAAACAGCTCGGTGCAGCAGTCACCGTCCATCTGGGTCCCTCGCACACTGAGGAGGTGGCATTGAGCTTAAGGGTCTCTTCAGCATCACAGGGTAGCCACAGCAAGTAGAAGTCACAGAGCTCTGGCCTGTACCACAGGAGCTGCTCAGTGAAGGACAGACCTTAGTGGACTCAGCCTAAAGGGACTCTGTAAAGACAGTCTTGACGGCTGGGGAGATGGACACACAGGGAGGAACCAGTCTTGTGTAAGATGCCCAAGCAGCCTCACTCAGGCTGGCTTCTTTAATCCCAGCACTCTGGAGGCAGATGCAGGTGGATCTCTGTGAGTTCAAGGCCAGCCTGGTCTACAGAGTGAGTTCCAGGAAAACCAGGGAGAGACCCTGTCTCCACACAAACAAAACAAAACAAAACAAAAACAGCCAAGCTTGGTGTTGCTGTTGTCCCCAGGCTCTGTTCATTAGTGCTCCATGGTGCGAGGACAGGCCAGGGACGGGGGTGGGGGGCGCCAGCAGCTCTCAGCCGTAGGGCAGGACTGTCGGGGTGCAGCTGTGGAACTGGAGCAGAGGCACCACGGCCAGCCAGCCTGTGCCCACCTTGCCAGCCACAGCTTCAGTGCCTGCACCTGGTGCTTGCTGCAGCTGTGCAGGGCAGGAGCCCTGGGCCACACTTGTTGGGTGTCTGAGTTGCTTTGCTAATTGCTGTGATAAAACACTCTGACAAGCACAGCTTAGGGGAGAAAGGGTGTGTTTTTAGCTCACAGTTCAAGGTGCAGGCTGCCGGGGCAGGGAAGTCTAGACCGTAGGAGCCAGAAGCAGCTGGTCACATCTCACGCACGGTCGGGAAACAGAGAGAGAATGCACATGCTCAGCTTGTGTCCAGGAGACACCCCACCCACAATTAAGATGGGTCTTCTCACATCACTTAAAATAAGATATCCCCACAGGCACGCCCAGAGATCTCCGAAGTGATCCTACATGCTGTCAATTGGTGGTTAACACTTCCATCACCACAGGGAAAACCTATTTCTCCACCAAATGCTCTAGGATTCTCGAAGAGGCCTGGAAGGGATGTTCTTTAAGGTCCAGCCCCCACCCCAGACTTACTTTACTCCTTCTGCTATTCAGCCAAATTTCTTTACATCTGTGGGTAGAGCAGGGACACATGGAGTTGTTGCAAGAATGAAGGAAGCCATTGTACAAGGGGATGAGGAAATTGTTCAGTCAGGAAAGGGCTTGCTGAGCAAGCGTGAGGACCCAAGTTCAGATCCTTAGCACTTATGCAGAAAAGCCAGATGAAAGAGCGTGTGCATGTAACCCAGCTCTGGAAAGGTGAAGAATATCCCAGGCCTTGCTGGCCAGTCAGTCTAGTTGGATTGGAACTTCAAATTCCGTGAACTTCACTTAAAAATAAGATGGAGAGCAAGTGAGGAAGATGCTCTGTCAACCTCTGGTCTCTACATGACTGTGCACATGCATCACACACATACACACACAGAAACAAAAACAATATAAAAAGTTGAAGACATCTGACACAATTATATAGAGCTGTAGCCCTATGCAGGTCAGAATATATAATCACAGCTTCATAAAAATCTCACGCAGCTGGGCAAGACTGTCACCCCATTTTACAGATGTGGAAAACCAGGGCTCAGAGAAGTTACCTGACTTACTAACAAGGAGCGAAGCTAGAATTCAATCCAGATAGGCCAGCTCTAGAGTCTGTCCTTGTGGCAACTAGCCTACTAATGCTGACCTGCTCCCCGGCATCTCTTCCAGTTTGATAACCATCAAGAACCGGGATATCTGTGCCGACCCCAGGCTGCCCTGGGTGAAGAGGATTCTCCATAAGCTGGCCTGGTGAAGAAGGCCTGATGGCATGGGCGTGGCCTCTCCAGGAAGACTCAGCAAGCCCTACCCTGCTGCCATCCCAGCCTTGCCAACGACGCTGCCGTCGCTCACCACCATGCCCTGGGCTGTCACTCCGGCCGGCCTCTTGTCCCTCCACCTCTCCTCCAGCCCCTCTAGCCCATCCTCTCCCAACATGGCAGCCGAAGGAGCACATTCAGGCCCGCCCTTTCCCAGCATCCCCTCCTCACCTTGCTTTGGTGTCCTGGTCCGGTATATCCGGTGCCTCCCCTCTCCCCAGACTAGGGAAGACCGAAATTCTTCAAGTCCGTGCTACTCAGTTCCACTTCCTGGGAGGTTGCTGACGCTCAGAATGTTTTTCCTGCCACTTGCGCTGGTCCGGCGCCACTTAATTCCCAGGCAGTTCCAATAGGCACCCTTCTAGCCTCTACCTTCATTCAGGAATTCTCAGGCATTCGTGCTGGTCCACCAGGCCCCGGGGTTAGGCCAACGTCCCCACCAGAACTGCTCCTATCTCTTAGTCTCCAGTGTGGGGCAGGGAGCACGGGGCATGGAGCAGGGAACACAGGGGCAGGCTCAGAATCAGAATTCTGAAAGGAGCTGCAGACTCCATCAATAGAAGTAATACTTTCCCCGTCCCTGGATACAGGACAGTTTACTGTCAACACAGAGACTCGGCTTGTTAGAAAGGGGCTGTGAAAGCCTAAATTTACCGGGAATTACCTTCCATCCCTCTTTAACCATACGCTGGGTCTTTTACCCTTTCTTCCTCAATCTACTTCTCCTGACTACTTGACTGAATCACTGATAATCAAATTCGTGCTATGGTGTCAGTGACTACCATGGCTTGGTATTATAAGCTGTAGTTATATTTATATAGGAAAAGAGGATAAATATGTAGGAGACCAAACCGATGAATTGGAGAGTTTTAGGAACTGGGGTCAGGGAGGGCCATACATTCTTGTCCTCAGAAAGCAGCTTCCTGTGCTAATGTCAGTGGGTACCATAGTTAAGTTAAAGAGCTTGGTTGGGAATTATTCTTGGGTGGTTGGGACCAGGCCAAAGATTTAAGATTCATTTGTGCTTCTCTGGGGACAGCAGTGTCCTGGGGGTGGGGGAATAAAGCAGCCTGTTCCCCTGGAGTGACTGAATTGTGTGACCCTGAGGAGGGTGTTTTACCACTCTGAGCCTCAGCTGACAGAAGATGGGACCGAGGAGGGCTGGATCCAAGCCATGGGGACTGATACTGCCAGCCACAGCTGTGTCCAGGGCTCATGTCCCTCCAGAACCCAGGAGGAACATCTGCCAACCAGGAGCACCATTAATGCCAGTCTGCTCACTCTCCACGCACAGGTGCCCTGAGACCCACCTCTTCTCCTACTTCTGTGAAAATAAATGTTCACCAACAGTGTCTGCCTTAGTTCCTTGTCATTTGTGCCACTGTGAAATAGATGGGGTACCATGACCTGTGCCATTTACTGGAGAAGGTTTGACATTTAAATATAAAGAGACTTGTACAAGGTCACCCTATGGGTGGATACAAGGCTTGGGGGGCAGCTACACAAATACAAACAGAAAAGCCGGAATTTGTCCCCAGTCCCCCACCAACCTGGCTGGCCATGCATAAGATCACTGCTCACCCCCAGGTCCAGAGCTAGGCATAGAATGATCATTCAATAGAAGAGTTCTTTCTCAGATAGGCACATCCAGCATTTTGGTCAATGAATAGCCTCCCAGGTGGATATCCAGGGACCTAGAGACTTTCTTCTCCTGGTCCTGCCCTCCTTCAGGGTCCAAACCCCTCCGTGGAAGAGAAGGGAGGCTTGTGGGATGGTGAGAGTGTACATCCATTGTGCCATGTGACCCAGTCACATGGGTGTCCTGAGTCAGGTAGTATGGCTCCCTGGGGTTGGACTCCTCAATTCTTCACAGACCTAGCCCCTTTTATGGGGGGGTCCTCACACTATCTTAGGGTTTCTTTGGCTGTGAAGAGACACCATGACCACAGCAACTCTTACAGGGAAGCACTTAATTGGGGCTGGCTTACAGTTCAGAAGTTCAGTCCATTATTGTCATGGACTGACAGGGTAGCATGAGGCAGACATGGTGCTGGACAGGTAGCTGAGAGTTCTGCATCTGGATAGGCAGACCGCAGGAAGAGAGTGAAACACTGGGCATGGCTTGAACATCTGGAATCTCAAAGCCCACCCCGAGTGACACACTTCCTCCAACAAGGGCACAGTTTCTAACAATGCCAGTTCTTATGCATCTATGGGAGCTGTTTTCATTCAAAGCACCACATTCCACTCCCCTGATCCCCACAGGCTTTTAGCCATGTCATAATGCAAAATGTGTTTAGTTCAACTTCAAAAGTTCTCATAGTCTTTAAAGGTTTCCTCACTGTCTAAAAGTCTAAAGTTCAAAGTTTCTTCTGAGATTCATGAAATCTCTTAATTACAACGCCCTGTAAAATCAAAATAAAAAGTAGATTGCATGCTTCTAGAACATAATGGCATAGAATACACATTATCATCCCAAAGGGGGGAAAGAGGGCATAGTGAGGAAGGCTGTGGAACTGTACCAAGCAAGACCAAAAAACAGCGGGTCAAACTCCAAACTCTGCATCTCCACTTCTGAGTGTCAAACTCCAAACTCCAAACTCTGCATCTCCACGTCTGATTGTCAAAAAACGCTCTTCAGATCCCCAACTCCTGTCAGCTTTGTTGACTGCAACACACTTGGAGTTAAAGGCATTTTTCTCTATTTTTTTATTTAAATAAAAAACAATCTTATTTTATATACTGATCCCAGTTCCCTCTCCCTCCTGTCCTCCCATACCCTCCACCAACCCCCATCCCCTCCCCAGGAGGGTGAGGCCTTCCATGAGGGATCATTAAAGTCTGACACATAATTTGGGGCAGGGCCTAGGCCCTCCTGCATGTGTCTAGGCTGGAAGAATATCCCTCCACAGGGAATGGGCTCCCAAAGTCCTTGCACTAGGGATAAATACTGGTTCCACTGCCAGAGGGCCCATAGACTGCCCAGGCCTCCCAACTGATACCCGTGTTCAGGGGGCCTGGTTTGGTCTTATGCTGGTTCCTCAGCTGTCAGACTGGAGTCTGTGAGCTCCCATTTGCTCAGGTCAGCTGTTTCTGTGGATTTCCCCAGTCTGGTCTTGATCCCTTTGCTTATCACTCCTCCTTCTCTACATCTGGATTCTAGGAGTTCGGCTCAGTGTTTAGCTGTGGGTCTCTGCTTCTGCTTCCATCAGCTACTAGGTGAAGGCTCTAGGATTGCATTTAAGGTAGTCATCAATCTAATTATAGAGAAAGGGCATTTAAGGTAGCCTCTCCACTATTGCTTAGATTCTTAGTTGGGGTCATCCTTGGGGATCCCTGGACATTTCCCTAGTGCCAGGTTTCTCTTTAAACCTATAATGTCTCCCCCTATTTTTTTTTTTTTTTTGGTTTTTCGAGACAGGGTTTCTCTGTATTGCTTTGGAGGCTGTCCTGGAACTCGCTTTGTAGACCAGGCTGGCTTCGACCTCACAGAGATCCGCCTGCCTCTGCCTCCCGAGTGCTGGGATTAAAGGCGTGCGCCACCAATGCCCGGCTGGCTCCCCCTATTAAGGTATCTCTTTTCTTGCTCTCCTCTATTCTTCCCTTGCCTCAATCTTCCTGATACCTCATGTTCTCCTCCTCCTTCCCCTTTCTCCTACCTCCCTTTCCTCCTCCCTCCTCGTGCTCCCAATTTGCTCAGGAGAGCTTGCTCCTTTCCCCTTCTCTGGGTGATGATGTATGTCTCTCTTAGGGTCCTTCTTGCTTCCTACCTTCTCTGGGGTTGTGGATTGTAGGCCGGTTATCCTTTGCCCTATGTTATGAGTAAGTACACTCCATGTTTTTCTTTTTGTGACTGGGTTACCTCATTTAGGATGGTTTTCTCTAGTTCCATCCATTTGCCTTTGAATTTCAAGATTTCATTGTTTTGTTTTGTTTTCCTGCTGAATAGTACTCCATTGTGTAAATGTACCACATTTTCTTTATCCATTCTTTAGTTGAGGGGCATCTAGGTTGCTTCCAGGTTCTGGCTATTACAAATAATGCTGCTATGAACATAGTTGAGCAGATGTCCTTGTGGCATGAATGTGCATCCTTTGGGCATATGCCTAAGAGTGGAATTTCTGGATCATGAGATAGACTGATTCTTATTTTCCTGAGAGACCGCCATACTGATTTCTAAATTGGCTGCACAGGTTTGCACTCCCACCAGCAATGCAGGAGTGTTCCCCTTTCTCTACATCCTCCAAAAGCCAAAAGGCATTTTAAAAAATATTTTTAAGCAGGGGTTAATGAGGAGGAACTCAGGAGGAAAGAAAAACTGATTGCATGGGTTGGGGGTTTCTCAAAGACAGCCCTGCCATGTCTACCAGCCTGATGAGTTTTGAGGCTTTATCTTCAAAGGCTTGCTAAGAAACCCAGATGGGACCCTGGGGTGGTTCCTGAGAAGCACATGGCAGGACCAGGATTGATAGGTCTTCATCACTGTGAACGAAGTTAACGTTGGAGACTTCCCAAGGATCTCTGAGAGTAGAATAGACACTTCCCCGGGTCTCATGCTTGTTTGTTGCTGTGCTAACATGCAATGTCTGCTGACTCGTTGTGCCAATGTTAATTGTGCTGGCTAGAGGCTTCAACTAGACGGAGGGGCTCCTTTCCTTCCCATGTCCTCTCCCTGTCTCCTGTCTTATCTCAGAAGGGCTTGAAGAGATCTTTCTCCACAGAAGATACTCAGGTATCCAAGAAAAAATATGAAAATTTGCATAACATCACCACTCACTGGAGAAATGGGAATAAAACCCACAGGAAATAGAACAGGAAACCTAGACGGTAACAAGTGTTGGAAAGAATGTGGAGAAATGTGAACCCCTGGGCACAGGTGCTTGGAGTATAGAATGCTGCAGCTGCTGTTGAAAACACTGGCTGTTCTTGCAGAAATCGAGTTGCTACAG